TTCTGCTGCTAAATGAAAATATGGTCTGCTGCACAGTTCTGGGGCGTTTTCTTTCCTTCAGTGGATCATTCTTTCTCCAATAAGGGGAACTTAAGGCAAGGTAAGATGATGGTGGTGTCTTATTGCTTCATCCTACCAAGGCAGCATCTCTCTGTGTTGCAGTACAATAACATGGTGAAATCCAACCCTTCCTGTGGCTTTCCCAATAGACGGAAATACTTTGAAAATCCACATGTTGAGAAGGTGAAACAACCATCTCAGCAGGTTTGTCGTTGCATGAGGTCTCCCCTCCATGCCCGAGGAGCTGAGTGCTGCATCCCACTCTCCTGTGCTGCCTGTGTGTAAAGTGCCCAGAAATTGTGCAGCTTTTTGTTTAGATCAGATTGCCCAGAGTCACATGCAGCCTGGGCTTGAACCCCATCTAATCTGGCCTTGAACACTTCCCTGGGCAACCTGTGCCTGATACCTAATCTAACCCTGCCCTCTGTCAGTGTGAAACCATTCCCCCTTGTCCTGTCACTCCACGTTCTTGTTCCAAAGTCCCTCTCCAGTCTCCTTGGAGCCCCTTTGGGTACCAGAAGGGTCTCTAAGGTCTCCTGGGAGCCTTCTTTTCTCCAAGGGGAACAACCCCAGCTCTCAGCCTGACCAGAGCAGAGGGGCTCCAGCCCTCAGAGCATTTTCATGGTCTCCTCTGGGCTTGCTCCAGCAAGGACACCTCCTTATATTGGGGACCCCAGAGCTGGACACAGTGCTCCAGGCTGGGCCCAGAGCATAGCAGAGCAACAAATACAGCAGTGCCCAATGGAACCCTGCCTCCCCCCAGCAGCTGCTTGGTGGGGAATGACTACAGTCCTTCAGGTATGGAGTAACCCCCTGTTTTGGGGTCTCAGGGAGTGAGTTGTGGAAGATAGAGTGTCGAGAGGGCAAGACTGATGGTAAGGAGGAGTCCAGGAAGGAAAACATAACCAGGGAATGGTGGAGGAGTTAATATTTATCCAAAACTCCCTGTGCTCTCCTGGGAGGGTGAGGGTCCAGTCCTGCCTCGCCTCTTGCTCTGGCCTGCCAGCTGCTGTTAATACTTCAACACCTGAGTGTTAAAGTGTGAGCAGAGAGCCTGGGGAGGATATGCAAGGGATTTCTGGCAGTTTGAGGCTTTCAGGCAGAGAGGATGAGAGCCAGCACAGAGGAGAGCTCAGACAGGGACTGTCCTTAAAGATATATCCTTCCATGGCATGGGACAGGACACAGGGACACTCTGTAGGTGTCATCTCAGGCTGCATGGGATTGGGACAGGAGGGAGGATGTGCTGCTGCTCTCTTAGACATCCTCTGCTGCAACTGCCACACGTGCTCTGGGTGGTGATGAGCTTTGTGTGCTGGGCATGGTCTCTGGCTTGGGAAAGGTAGTAACTTGGGAGGATCTGTGTGATCTGTGTTCCGGTGTTGAACAAATACAGGTTTTCATAAGAAATAGCCAGGGAGTGGCAAAACAGTGCTTGGCAGCACATGTGGAGCAGCTGAGAGCTGCAGCCCAGGGCAGGGCAGCTCCATATCTGCCCAGCTGGGAGAGGGGCATGGAGTGGGGAGGCAAAGAAACACCTGGCAAAGAGCAGGGCAGCAGCATTCAGAGGGTAAGTACCTCCCTTGGAAAGAGGAGGATCTCCTTGGTTTGGTTTTAACTTCTTTTCAAATGAAAAGGAGAATTTTAGCCAGACTTCTCTTTCTTCCCCATCCCCAAGGCTCATATAAATGTAAATGAAAGGTTCTTGGAGCAAACAGTCCATGGAGGCTCAGAGACTGTCATCTGCTGGCTGGGTCCAGCCTGGGGGTAAATGGCATAGAGGGAATATAATGGAGTAACACTTGATTGCACTGTTTGAGTTGGGACCTGTATTTCCTCATGTGAAAATGCTTCACTGAACATAATTTGATTCAGGAATGCTCCACTCTGCTGCACTGTCCCCCCCTCTGTGCTCTCCTCCCAGCTTGCCAGCACTGCAGATAGCTGAGCTTGTGAAAGAACCAGTTGAATCCCCATTTTTCCTGCCTCTCCAGGCCCTGGAGGTCTTTGGCTGCTCTGGCTGCTTCCTGACACCTTTGTCAGTGCAGTCTGAACCTCTGATCCCTGCATGGGCTTGCAGCACTCACCCTTCCCAGCTCAGCTCTGGGGTTACAAGGTGGTACCTGGCTGGTTTGCTAAACCCTGGTGGAGGTGGCTGGCTGTGCCTGTGGGACTGCATGGCTGAACTAGGTAGGAAAGAAAATAACTCTTCTGTTGGATCAAATGGCACAGGAACATAAGCCCAGCATAAAACTAGAGAGGCAGACAAGGAATTGCAAATAAGATCTGCCTCTGTACCACAGTGGCCACTGCTGTGGCTGGGGACAGTGTCAACAGTCCTAAAGCCCCTCCTGGCTGCCCACTGCTGTCCTGGGATCTGTGCCACATCCATGGGCCCTGCTTAGCTACGTGTTCATGCACAACAAGCAGGTTATGGCTTGGCAAAGGGCTTGGGCGTTGCTGGGTGAGCCTCAGAGAGGTGTGAGAGAAAGAAAATTCAAACTGAGCCTGGAGCAGGGCTTGGTTTACTTTCTTTTTTTTTTTTTTTTGTGATTTCCTTCCTTGCTTTCTCTGCACCTGGCAGTGCTTCCTGCTGGCTGTCACTGTGGGAATGTCCAAACCTGGGAGGGAAAGCGTGTGCACCCCTGTGCCAGCCTCCGTGAGCACGGGGTGGCAGTGGAGCCAGGCTCCTGCTTTGTTTCAGATTCTTGTTTGCAAATGGAAATTGGGTTTATTTTTGCAGCAGATAATAGTGGTTTCCTTAAAGTTGCTTCTGCCTCTTTCCTATGCTCATTGCTTTCCCTAAGTCAGCCCTGGAGGGCCCTGAACTCCAAGAAGGCAGCCCTAACCAGGGGAGAGACTTCTCTGTCCCTTTCCTAAATTCTGGGTGTGCTTGACTTCCCCCCCAACCCTTGAGCAATAGTATTAGAAAACAGAATATGTGTTATCTTTCTCTATATATATTTGTACAGTGAACAGACCACCAAACAGGCATGTGATGAGCTTCTCAAAAGCTACAGAAGGTGGGGGATCCCCAGCCCTGTGACATGTGTGTCACTGGAACTGTACCTTTGGAGGAAGCAAACCCCAATGCTGGCATCACCAGCACAGGGTACCCCTCTCTCAAACACAGGCACCCCAGTGTTTGCCTGGGAGAATTCTGCTTCAAACAGAAGCTTTGTGAATTCTGCTTCAAACGGAGACACCTGACTGCACCTTTAAAGTGAATCCATGAAAATTTGCGTGAGTACTTCAAGTCTGAATGACAGGATCTACCTGGAGGTTTTATGAATTTGAAGTTCAATTTGCATTAATCATAGTTTGGATTCACTTCCCTGAGTGCCTCCTGGTGATCTGCCCTGCAAGAAATGGTGTCTTTACTTTATCTCTCCTAATCATCTGGGTGTTGATGGGTTAAAGTCTGGAGGCTGAAATGTGTGCTGCCCCCATCCCTTCTTCCTTTCCATTCACCTTCTTCCTTTCTCCATGCTTCCCCTGAGTTTTTCCCTTCCTCTCCAGCCTAAGGAGCTTGGCAATAAGGCTGCTTGGTGGAGGCAGTGCAGTGGGTTTTGTGCTGTATGGGGCTGTGCAGCTGCCCTATGTCCTTGCTTTGTGTTCTGCACCTTCTACATCTCAGGCAGGAAACGTGGGTTTAGCCTGTTAATGGGAAAACGTTGCTTATTGTCCCCTCTAATGCCTTGGGCTCTGGCAGCAGGAACGTGAAGAGCTTTAATAGCAAACAGTGGATGAACAGGAATCTGAGAAGGAATCTAAACCGTCTTGCCCAGGGAATAACACACTGGGGATTAGGGAGACACTTCCCAAAGGACTGGACTGTCCTGGGGCTGCCTCCCACCAGCTCCCTGCTGTCTGTTGGGATGTGCAGTGGTTGCTGTTGGCTGGAGGGCCTGACCCCATGGCTGGGTGCTGGCTGTGTTCCTCCCTCTGTTTTGGGGACAGTGATATTCCATCAGCTGCTGAACAGGAGAAATCCACAATACTGAAAACCAATATAATGTGTATTATAAGGTATATAATATAATGTGGGTCCGGGCTGTCCAAAAGTCCCAGCACTGCCTGTAATGCCTGGAGTCTTCCCTTGGAAGTTTATTCATCCAGCTGGGAAACAATCTGTCCTTCTGCCCTGGTTATGAGAGGAGTGCCAGGCTCTGTCACATCTATCACACTTGGGTTTTTCCATGTGAACTGTGAGTGTTTTGGGGCAAAAAGTGTCACATGTACCTTGCTGATCTTACAAGGGTTCTGCCAGCACACCTGGCCTGTGGAGCAGCTGTGCCTTCCCTCCTGGCATCTGCCATCCCCTGCCTTGGGGATGTGGGATAGATGGCTTCTTTGCCAGCTCTGGGGATGGAGGCTGTGCCCTCACATCTGGCTGGGTGGCTCAGGCTCCACACTGTCAGCTGGATGGCACAGGAGGGCCGTGCAGGGTGGTGTGGGCAGTGGGCAGTGCCTCGTTGGAGGTGCTCACACAGCGTCCCTGCTGCCTGCCCGGGCCACCAGCCAAGGGGAAGTTTCCAAGCGGGCCAGCTCACTGCTGCAGCCACACATCCCTCCATCCCAGAGGAGGATCCAGCCCCGGGCTCTGCAGGGCTGCCCTGCTCCCTCTGCACCCTGTGCCCTGCCCGGGCATCGCGGGGAAGGAAAACTGCTCTCGAACCCCACCTTCGCTCCACTGCGGGACCAAGGAGAAGACCAAGAGCTTCTGTCCGGGGCAGAGACTTTCGCTATCGCTTTTGGCAGGCTGCAGAAGTCCTCCCGATCGCCGCCTTGCCGTGGGGAGGGAGGCGAAGCAGGGGCTGAGTGCCAGGGCCGGCGGCAGAGCTCTGCGAGGGCTGCACGGGGCGAGTAAACATGTGCGGAGCTCGGGTCCTGCCTGGTAGCAGCAGCAGCGGCAGCAGCCCGTGATGCTGCGCTTGGAATGAAGTCAGCCTTCATCAGCCGAATAGTTTATGCATGAATCGAAACTTCAGACCTGGCAGGGTGGGGGAACGTGCAGGATCTGCGCTCTTTTAGAATGCTGGAGCCAAGGAAGGAGGAGGGGATAGAGGAAATAGCAGGAAAATAAGACTGGGGAAGCGGGGAGAGATTTGAGAAGCTGGATGAGTGTTTCGCTCTGTTATTGTGAGGAGCCAAGTTCCTTAAGCATCTCCTGGTGGATATTAAGAGGGAGCTGTGGAGGCTGGAGCGTTCCCCTGGACACTCGCATGCTGTAGCTTTAAGACTGTTTTACAGAGGACTCGGGATTTCCAGTTTTCCTGTGCCTGGTGGAGTATTCCAGGGAGTTACAGGATTTTTCGGGTCATGTACCCCCTTTTTCTTTCTTCTTCCTCCTTTCTCTTTCTCTCTTACTCTTCTTTTTCATTTCAAAGAGACAAAGCTACTTCAGTTTGGAGCACAAACATATGATCAGCACATGGAAATGTGGTAATTTGGATGCATTCATGATTGCAACAGATTGAAGAAATTAGACCAGACAAAGAGCTTTTTTTGGAAGAGGAGGAGGAAGAGGCAAGGCAAGGAGGGAGGGAGAGTGGGGGAAAGAAGGGGACGCCACCGAAAAAAGGGACGGCCGTGACACGCGGATGCTAAATATATCCCGTAGTAATGGAGAGGGACCGGATTTCAGGTAGGCTATTGATCTTTTCATATGTTATATTCTGCCTCTGCCCTCCTACCTTTCCAGCAGCTTCTGCACTTTAAGAGGAACAGCCCTGCTCCGGGTGGATTTCAGCCGATTCCTTTATTTATTTCCTTTTTTTTTTTTTTTTTTTTTTTTGCAATGCTTCCCTTCTGTATTTCTTTCCTTTTTTTTTTTTTTTTTTCTCCCCCATCCTCCTGAGCCCTCGAGACAGACGGTGATTCCAGCAGAAGCCGAGGGGGGCGAAGGGGGAGCCAGGGGGGAAAAAGAAACTGCTTTCTAGGTCTGGATTTCATTTGAGTCTCTCTCTCCCTCTCCCCCCCTCTGCTCCCATGTGCCGCACGGCGCGGGGGGATGAATGCTGAGCCTGTTAGCTCAGAGCTGCGAGCCGGGAAGAGGGAGGAAAATAGCCGAGCTCTTGGCATGGAGACGCGGTTCTGCTCTGAAGGTTGGCTCCTGAGTGTGTGTGTGTGTGTGCGCGTGTGGTGGTGGAGCTTTTCCTGCTTGCCAAAGTGTCTTCCCTCGGTTTTTGCCCTCCCATCGTGCCTGGCTGGGCAGGAGCTGCCTGCGTGTTCCGTGGCTGGTCCCCGTGTTACGCCAGGGCAGTGGCGTGGGCTTCACCTTGCTGGCCATGAGTGGGGGGGAGGCTGGAAGGGGGAAGCAGAGGAATGAATAACTCCATTTAATTCCCCAGTTTCCCTGCAAATCCCGCCCAGTGGTGCATGTCTGAGTGATTCCAAGAACTGCTCCCAGGTACGCTGAGCCTTCGGGAAGCAGTGAGCTGTTTCGGGAATGGCTGTGACTGTGACTGTTTGCTTCCAGCAGCGGGGAGAGAGGGGACAGGCGGTGTGGTGTCACCCACAGGGCTCACCCTCAGCATGCATGAGCAGGATGACCAGGATAAGAGAGGGAAAGCCAGGGAGGGGGTGTCTGTGCCCGAATTGGCAGAGCCGATGGGTATCCCTTCTCCCAGCCCCATGGCACGGCACAGCTCACCCTCCTCTGGCACAGCAGCCCCAGAGAGGCTCCAGACCTCTTCTCCTGGGCGTTCCCAGCCGACTGCTGGGCATTGGAGCTGGGAGGGAAACCACAGGGATGAAAGGAAACGCTCAAGCCAGGGTGGAGCGAAGCTGTGGCCAGGGAAGGCTGCTCCCATGGCTGGCCCATACCAGATCCACTGTGCCCCAGCCAGGGATGTACTGAGAGCACCCAGTGCCCCTGGATAAGGACTTACCTGCAGGACCACCCTTCATTCCCCACTGCTTCTTCAGAGTGTGGACGGCACCTTCTCATCCCTCTTGCTTGTGCTTTCTCCTCTGGTTTGAGCCACTTCAAAGCATTCCTGAGAGCTGCTCGTAACTCAGAGCCTGGTGGGTGTTTCTGCAGCCTGGGGCTTTGGACTGGAGAGCCTCTGCCAGTGGGCAGGGATGTGGGGGAGAGGAGGGGCAGTTTGGTCCTACTGTGGTTTGGCCTTTCCCATCCTCGGTGCAACGCTGGGTCCCCTTCCTTCACACAGAGGTGGAGGGGGGCTCTGCAAAGGGTCACTGGTGAGAGAGGGGACTCCCTAGTGATGTGATCCAGGGCTTTTTGTTCTGAAAGACCATAAAAGGTGGGTTTCTTTGAGGCTTCAGGCTGCACACACTTCTCAGCTGCTGCAAGGAGCACAGAGCCCTCGAACCTGCGGGCAGGAAGACCCTGAGAGTCCTTGAGCAAAGATGCAGGAGCTCTTGCTAGTGCCCAGGAGCAGTGTTTGCAAAATGCTGATGTCCAAGCGTGTACATGTTTCAGTGACCTCTGCTGGAACTGGCTTTTCTGTGGGTGGCTGAGCCGTGGGCAGGGAGGCAGGCAGGGATACAGAGGGGCAGGCAGCAGGGAGGGCACGTGGCTGTGCTTGGTGGCCTGGACCAGGTGTACACAAGTGTGGTGTGTGCCTCCACCTAAGGTGGTTGTGCCTGGGGGCTCAGTGTGGGGTGATGAACACAACTGCTCTGCCCTCCTCCACACACGGGTGGGTTGGGTGCTGTATGGGGCCCTAGAGCCATGCAGGCCATCCCAGTGGTGTTTCTGATGGGTGGATCCAGCATGAAATACGGGATGGGGGGATAGGTGGGCTGAAGGGCTGGTCTCGGATCTGCTCCACAGGTCCCTGCTTGAAGGATTCAGAGCAGGCAGGGAAAGCTGCTTGGCCAGGGCAGTGGAGGGAATGATAAACCACATGTGGGAAAACTGTTCTCCAGGAGATTCTGGGCACAAAAATGGCAATGGTTGGATGCAATAATTTTAGGTGTTTCTTCTAACCTAAATGGTTCCATGATTCTAATATCACCAGGCCATGCTGTTGACTCCCAGATCCATGTCATAGCATGGATTCATGGTCCTGCTGCTGCTAGCATAGGAGCAACTGTGCCAGCTAGTGTGTTCCAAGGGTCCCACAGGGCTGTGGGCTCTGGCACTGCCACACTGGTGGAGGAGAGGAGCAGGGAGCAGAGCTCAGCCTGCCCCAGCACAGGCAGGGGGACAGCTGGGCCCTGGCTTTGGTGACAGAGATGACTCAGATGAAAGCAGATCTGTGCTGTGCTGGGGGCCTCGTCCCAGTCCCTGCTCTGGCCCTAAACATGCTTTTAATTAATCCTCGGCTGTGGGTGGGATGAGCTGACTCCTGATCCGAGTGTGGGGCTGCCGGATGGGGTGAGGGCACTCCAGGGTGGGTGGGAACTGGGCCTGGCCTCTTCTTTGAGGACTGCTTTCCCACAGCTGCTGGAGCTGGGCATGTCCCGAGGGGTCTCCTCTGCCCAGGGAGAGCTCAGGCTTTCCTGCACAGGGGAAATCCTTGACTCAGAATGCTCTTTTAGGTGATGACAAACACCCTGTGCTTCAGGGGAAGGCATTGAAGGTGCGAGATGATGCTGTGGGTCTGTGCCTGGTTCACTGCCAGCTCTGGGGCAGGGAAGAGTCTTCCTTGGTCTGTACCAAGATGCCAGTCTCAGCACCTGTGGGTGCCCTATAACAAACACAATCTCACAGAACCTGTTAGTCGCTTTTAATCCGGTTAAACCATTTCTCACGCATTTCTAAAAGTTAATACTGCGTGAAAAGCATTAGCTCTAAATTAATTTGTTTCTAGGTATGCCTCTGCTCGTTTCAGGGCTGGGGAGCTGTGCTCTGGGTGCTCCTCACATCCTCCTCCTCCCTGCAGTGCCAGGTTGCGCTGGTGGCAGTGGCCTGGAGATGGCTCTCCTGTCTTTCCCTAGCAGATGGCTCTTTTGCCGAGCCCGGATCTCTCTACAAAGCCTTAATTGTGAACGCCGCGGGGCCTCTTTACCTCTTCTTAAAAGAAAAGGGTCTGCAGCTCCCTGAGCTGCTGGGGTTTGATTGCTGTGATGGTTGGGGTGAAAGGATGGCAAAGGGAGATCTGATGTCCCAAGGAAATTATCAGTGTCACCTTTGAAATTGCACTGGGAGAACTCATTTTAAGAGTTAACAAATGGTGATGAATGGGTGACTGTGACACCTGACTGCAGTGAGTGGCACATGTTGGGCAGAGCCCAGGAGCTGGGAAGGGCTACAGGTGTATAGAAAGAGGGATGAACTGCTCACTGACCCATTGGTGATCACTCTCTGCATCCACTATGGCTACGTTTATGTGTGATATTCTTAGTTTAACGTGGGTTTATACATCATACTGAGCAGCAGGGACACAGCCCCTGTTGCATGGGCTGGGCAGGCATGACAGGGCATCTTTGGTGTCCTCAGAGCCACCCAGAAAGCACCACGTGCCCGGACTGAGCAATAGGAAAGGAAAGTAGGGACCCTGTATGTGATTGCTGGAGATATGAAAGGTTGCTGTGAGGGAATACAATTGTTTCTTCATTACTTTTTAAGTAGAATTTAATCTTTAATATGCATATAGCAGAGGGATTTCTTCTGATCTCTCTTGCTGTCTTTCATGTCTCAGGTTTCTTGGTGTCCTTGTTATTCCTAGGAAATGGCAGGTAAAAGCCTAACATGTTTCTTTTTAGTGGTCTTCTCACAGCTATACACCTTGTTTATCAGACATGTTTCTCTTTCTCTGGCTTGCAGCATGTCACACACTCACATGGGGCACCAAGTCGTGCATTTACAGTCTGGATGGTTCCACCTCCTGTCAGATCCCACTGCGTTCACCCAGCCCTGGCACTCAGGGTCACCTTTCTGTCTGTCCTGTTGGTGGCTGATGGTCTCTCTGTAGCCCTTCCTTCTGCTGTCACTGTCCTGCTCATGTCCCTATCTGGTGCTGACCCCCATGTCTCGCTGCAGTATTTGATGCCCTGTAAAACTCCCTGAAACCTTTTTTTTTCAGCCAAGTTTCTTGTTGAAGCATTTACCTTCCCCCCAGGTGTTCTGCAGTAACCTGTTGTGGCTGTGGGTTTTGGCCTATTTAGCAGTAGCTCCATGCAGTCCCTCTCTCAGGGAAGGGTCTGGGATTGGTGAGGCTGTGGAGCTGCCTCTGCAGACACCGTGTCCACAGTTTGCTCCGTGCTGCTCCCAGCCCGCTCTTGGCTGCCAGCTCCTGCCTGGCCTGGGGATGCATTCCCCCAGTTGTCTGAGGCATGTCAAGGTATGAAGCATTATCCGTTTCCTGATGTCTGCTCTTAAATCTGCTGCAAATTCTGCTCATCTCTGTTAAATATGGTCCTGCTGTGGGGCACAACTCATCTCTGGCCTGACAGCACAGGTAACGCTCCTCGACACCGCTCTGCTGGACTTGGCCAACCCTGGGGCAGGAGCTCCTTTGCTTCCTGCCCTCCTGCTTTGTGCTTTGCTCAGAGCCTCCCAGCAAAGTGATTCCCATGCTGCTGGGGTGAGGGAGGACGTTTCTCATGCAAGTCAGGGCTCTTCCAAGGTCCAGCATACCATAATGCTGAGTAGGAACAAGTACGTAGTTAGGGAAGTATGTCTGGGTCAACACATGTCTTGTGTTCCCTTAATGATCTCAGAAGCACAATATC